CGTACATTCAATCATTAATTCGAGTGCATTTAAACTGGAGATTAAACTCACTGTGGCTGTTTCACGTGAGATAAAACCCGGGGTTTGTAGAGCTTCAGAGAAATTCATTGGAATAATAAAGCAGGCCACCAGCCGGATTATTCTTTTTTTTTTTTTTTTAACTATCCCAGGCTCTGTTTCTCCATTGATTTTTCACTGTTTCGGGTCACTAAAATGTACCAGAAGACATTTGGACATAATTAACTGCAGCAAACGTCCATATTCTGCCTTCTTCTTTTTCCCAGCGGCGACATTCATCTACATCTGTGGTAATCAGATTTCCACCCGATGGCCTTTGTTTCCTTTCATTTCGCAACTCAGAAGTCCCTGTTATCCGTCAGGAATTATGGGTTTAATACCTCTAGCATGCGGGCAAAGCAGTAAAGCAGGGCAGGTATCTATAATTTACCTAACACCTGATTTACTGTAACAGGAGGGCAGCAGCAGTGGTGGAGAAAGTATTCATACAAAAAGTAAAAGTACAAATACACAGACAAAAATGTACTCAAGTAAAAGTCAAAGTTCCACATTATTATTTTACTTAAGTAAAAGTAAGAAAGTACAAGCTTTTAAAACTACTTAAGTATTAAAAGTAAAAGTACTTGCCAACCATAATGCCTAACGGCTTATATAATGTCATTAAGTGTACCTATCGTATTTAGTTTGAATAAATCAGTAATGTACCATTTTAATGAGCAATGCTGCAGATAAAGCATGTTTTTATCATGTTTACCCCCTGTGACAGTTTAGATTTAGATCTTTTATGCAGGTCCTGGTACTGTGCTGCTCTTCTTGAGGGAGGGCCTAATGGTTATTTCCCACTTTGGATTGGTTCAGCGGACTGATTCTGCTCTCGCCATTGGATACTTTCAAACTAACGAACAAATTAAAAAAAACGAAATGCGTCTTGGATGTAACGAGTAACGAAACGCTGTATAGAAATGTAGTGAAGTAGAAAGTACAGATACTTACTGTTAAATGTAGTGGAGTGAAAGTAGAAAGTATCCATTATTAAATCTACTTAAGTAAAGTACAGATACACGGAAATTGTACTTAAGTACAGTAACGAAGTACTTGTATTTCGTTACTTCCCACCACTGGGCAGCAGGCACACCTCCCTAATAATATCCCGATGCATCACCACTCGTTCTGACTCACAGATCTCCTAAAAGGCCCGTTTCCACTCATCCTCTCCGAGTGGCCTTCCATTTCTCGCCTCCCACCACATGCCTCCTCCTATCTCTGCTCCTCAGCCTAAATACCCGCATCGCCCCATCGTTGTGTAAGTTTTCTTCATTTGAAACCGCTAACTACACTGCAAAAAACAGACCTACTAGAAAGAAGCAAAATATTCTTAAATTCAATCAAATTATATTGTATCTAGCAAAAAAAATCTGCCAATGGGGTAAGCTTTTTTTACTTCACAAGAATTCTTGAAATAAGCACAAAATTCTTGCCTCTGACAGACTAAAATGGGCCTTAAAACTAGACAGAAAATCTTAAATTTAAGTAAATTCTTCTATAAAAAGGCAATGAAAACCCATTTATTCAAGATTAATTTACTTAAGATAAGAATTTTGGTCTCTTGACTGAGTTAACTTTAAGAAATGACACCTTAATCTAGGACTAATAATAAGTATAAAAGTAGTTCAAATAAGACACAATTTCTTCAAATGGCATTATTATTATCTTATTATCTTGTTTTGCTTTATTCGCTCTGTTTGGGCAGAAGTGATCCATCTATAACGATCCGAGTCATTTTGAAAAGAAAAAAAAAACGTTTTCATCGATTGTGGAAGGCTTTGTGTTTGTTTCAGGCCCTCTTTGACCTTTGACCTTTGGCTTTTAATGTCATATGAATGCACCAAACAATGTTTTTTTCATTCTTTTTTTCTGGATGGCTTGAAACTAGTCCACAGACTAACACCTATTGGTTCCGTTATTGTCAGAATATTTTAACCCTGTAATGCCAAATGTTTGATATTTGATACATACTGTTTCTGAAATGTTTTGCGTCTGAAACCTTTTGCATAATTTAATGATAAAAACTTTGCTCAAAATCCTATTGTACACCATCAGATACACCTGATAACAGGGGGCAGAAGACTACACAAAAAATAATCTTGACTTATTGTATAGTAGTAAATTATTAATATTAAAAATATATTTCTGTTTTTTCTTTCTACATATTTTGTTAAAAGGCCAAATAAGGAATTCAAACCAAAAAAAAGTAATTTTCTGTTTTGTTTTATTCTTGGATCAGGCTTTAAAGGGTTAAGCTTCGTGCTGCTTTCTGTAGGTTTAGTTTCACTCGAGCCTCAAACACAAATTTCCTTTTTGTTTAGACGCAAAGATGCTAGTTTTTAGGTGATAAACCTGGTTCGGGGTCACCTCACATCTGGACTGAATGGGGTCGGCTGAAGTGGGCAGGACTGTTGGAAACCTTTTTTATTTGTGGATGCTGAGCGGATGGAAGGAGTCACGACTGTTTTTACCTCCATTATGATTCGCCAACAGGGCAACAGGGAAGTTGGTGACCTGTCAGAGCTTTCCAAAACCCTAGAAACATCTGGAATGAGACCCAGATGTGAGAAAACAGAGGGAAAAGCTAAAAACAGAACAGGAACGTTTTAAAAACAGCTTTTTCCACTCGTTTACTTAAACTTCCCACATGTTCATTAGCTCATTTATGCTTTTTTTTGCTTGTTTATCCTTAACTCGTTGACTGCCAAAGACGTCTATAGACGTCTTTTATGTTTTTCAACGAGAGTGTCTGGGGGACGATCTGCTAAAGCTTGTCCGTAAATATGGGCTTCTAGACAGAGTATGTAGTAACAAATTGACCCTCTAGGGGGCAGTGCCACTTTTGATGGGAGATGAGCATAGACTGTAGGCAAATAAGAAAAAGGTAACGGTTCGCTATGAGAGAACATGTCGCCGGTGAGACGCAAGTCCAGGAAGAACGGAATAAGGTAGAAACCCATTTCTTTTCCTGATGAAAGAAGAGAGTCTACTCTTTCTTTTGGTGTGTTCGGTGTTTACATAGTCATAGCACAAACTATTCTGTAGCTCTAGAAAAATCAGTCAAAATGCTCAAAAAACTCTGGCAGTATGGGACTCTCTGTTCTGAAAATGGCTGGCAGTCAATGAGTTAAATATCCTAAATTAAACAACATTTTGGTTTTCCATCCCTACAAACTTATCAAACTTAAATTTATCGGCTTCTTTTTTCCACTTTAAATGCGGCAGAAACGTCTTTGTATCCACCCAGTCCTCTTGGCTGCGACACAATGCCGTCTTGCCCCTTTTGTTGACATTTTCTCTCCACCTCTTCAGAGCTTTGTTAGCACTCAAACATTCTTTATTAACTTTGAGACCTTCGGTGCCTTCTTAGTAGTGTCGAGTGAACTCGGTTGAGTTGGAGAAACATGTCAAGGACCCCTGGCAGCAGGACGCGTAACAGCTCAGGTTCTCGTGGCTTTTCAAAGCGTCTGAATGCTTCTGTCAATTGGATTTCGAGCCTTTTATTTTCCGATAGATTAGGTCAAAGCGTCAGATACCTTTTTTTTTTTTTTCCCAATAGGTTTCAGGTTCTGGGTAGAACTCTAAAAGTGAACCAGAA